CTACGACGACGACGGCGGCTTGTCTGTGGAGGCCAACACTTTGGTCGCTGCCGCGCTTCGCTGACTTCCGAGCTGAGAGCTGGGCAACAAAGTTGCCTACAACCTCATTTTGGGCAAGTGGCAAATGGAAAGCTGCAACTGGCAAGGGGCAGGCAAAGGAGGCTGCCGGCAATTATAAGACTATTGCGATTAAGTAGAATGAAGAATGGGGAGAAGCTACTCATATGTACATGTATATGAGAGCAAGAGAGTAGGAAATTAAAGAGAGAGAGAGATATAGATAGAGAGAGGGACAGAGCAAGATCGGGAAAGAAAGTCAGAATGAAAGAAAAATTAAGGGAAAGTTAAGGATGGATCGAGAGATGAAAGCATGGAAGCAGCTCAGAAATAGAAAGACAGTATGAAAGAGAGGTTGAAGGGGAGAGGTAGTTAAGGATAGCTCGAGAGAGATGCAAGCAAAAAGGAAAAAACTAGTCAAATCAAAACCTCGACAGTGCGTGCTGAGCATATCCATAAAATAAGAAAGAAATAAGTATTATATTTAAATGAATGCCCCGCGCATCGGTACAAAATATCTCAAATCCCAAATGCGGCGTCAAGTCCAAGTGAGCATTCATAAGTAGTGTCCAGTAACGAGCTGCAAGTGCCACATTCTCATGCCCGTCCGCAAATGCATCCCCTCATCGCGCGAGGGAAAGAAAACAAGAAACGCTGCCCGCCAGCGATGGGGCACGCATCAAGCGTGCAAATAAATTAACGGCCGCAAAGTGTTGACATTTATTGTCAAGCCAATTGCGAGACGAGCCCAAAAGCACTTGCAACAAGAGATACACGCCGCATGCGGCAACACCACCATGAGTAATGTTGAGCGGCCAGGGGAATGGATCTGAGCCAAGTGGCACCGCACGCTTTTGGTCAATTTCAATTTATTGCAACAAGTGACAATGGACACTCGCACAATCGAGTGAATGCGAATGTGAATGGGCAGCCGTCGTACTGCTGCTGCTGCTGCTGCAGCTCCTGCTGCCAGTCCCCAAATTGGGCCAGTTGCAGCCGGAACGAACGCGGCACTGTCTCCAGCCCAGAGCCAAAGCACAGTCCCCATTCCAGTCCCATTATCCGAGGCAAGCGGCGACTGCCGCGGCGATCGACTCTTTAATTGGTGCGTTGTGTGCTGCTCCTGCCCCCAACCAGAGGCTGCAACCGCCTGAGGCCCAGCTGGAGTGACGTCGACAAGGCGCGACCACGACAGCGACGACGTCTAAATTGTCGCACCTTTTACAGCCTCCCGATTGGAGCAGCTCGCGACAATGGGGCCGCACCTACTTCAAGGACTGGGATGCGTCTGTACCGGAGCTACCGCTTGAGAGATAGAAAGAGATGGTGAGAAAAGAGAGAAAGCGAGAAAACTGACAATGGCACTTCTACCAAAAAGCTGATAAAAAGTGGAAAACCGAAAAGGGATTTTAACTACCCAGCCTACCACATGCTTTACATATATAGATGGAAACGTAACTTTGCAAAAATCAGGGTACAGAGCAATTTTGATCAGCTCAAGTTATCAAGTATTACATGACTTTACTTATATAAGTAGAACAAGTAAGAGGTTCTAGTCGGGAGCTCCCAGGAGCACCTACATCTAAAGTCTCTAGCTCTTATAGGTTCTGAGATCCTTGCGTTCATACATACGGACGGACGGACAGACAGACGGACATGGCTAAGTAGACTCGGCTATTGATGCTGATCAGGAATATATATACTTTATGGGATCGGAGATGCTTCCTTCTGCCTGTTACATACATTTGGATTTTGCACAAATACAATATACCCTTATACCCATTTTTAATGGGTTCAGGGTATAAAAACTAATTTCTTGTTACCTTCACTTTCAGTCTGTTGCTCTTTTTCGCTCGCTCTCTTTCTCCTCTTACAAATTTCGCCTTTCTATGCAATTCTCATATATTCTGGTTAGCCTCGAAGATTTTAATGCTTAGCTAGAAAGTCACAAATGCATATAATTTGTGATTAGTCATAAATGGTTATTTAGCAAACTCCTCAGTGTCGTTTGGCCTGCAGCTATTTTGGCCAAATTCACGAAAATGTTCACTGGCCAACATTTCTGAATGGTTGTTTCAGCGGCAGCTCATTGCTCATTAGGCGCAACCAAAACGAGAGCCCTACCCATATGAGAGACGGCCGAGACCAACCCAAAGTTCCAGACACACATGAGGGCCAGTTAAATGACGGCACATATTAAGCCAAACCGAACCCAAGTTAGCCCTAGCACTTGAACGGGGTTCGAGCAAGTTGAGGTAGGTTAATTTTATTGGCCAAATAAGTGGGTATCAAATTTAATGGCCACAGCGCACAGCGCACAGCACAAGCAACAAGCAGAAGGCCAAGACGAGCACGAAGAAGACGAACACGATGAAGAAGACAGCGAGAAAGCAAGAAGCAGCGAGGAAAGGGGCAGGCAGCAAATTGCGGCGCAGTGCGCGGTGCATAAAGCGTAAAAATGAGCCAAAATAAATAAAAGCTGCAACAACAACAACGACAACAACAACATCAGAGGAGACGTCGACGTCGACGTCCGTTTGATTGATTGGCGACAGCAGCGGAAGCGTCAGCTCTGCCAACGTCGACGTCGTCGTCGACAGCGAAGCGTCACAGCGTCACAAGCTCACAAAATGGCTTTTGCGTAAGGTCAGGCATTTTGCATGCACCTCTCACATGAACCAGAAGCCAATCCGAGCTCTCCTCAAAGAACCAGTGCCTCAGCCTGTAGAGAGTCAATTAAAAAAAGAATATCGATTACCCAGTGTTTTTATTGCGCCATAAAAGCCTCATTTGAAATTAAGTTTAAGTATTCAATGAAAGTTGGTGAAGCGACAAAGTTTAAGCTTAAAGTAAGACAAAAAAAAAACGAGCTTGAAACTTGAGTAGGGCATCGATCGAATCGCAATATATTAGATTAGAAAACTGTCACTGCTAGTGGGTCTCTTAATTATGCCCTAAGAGAATCGTGTGGAGCATTTTTTTTAATTCAATTCCAAATATTGCGATTCAATTGCAGCACATTCCATATCCCGAAGCCAACGTATTTGATTTATTCCGAACGAAGTCTGTCAATGTTCCATACTATTCCAATATCAGTCTGACACCAAAGACATTCCTTGAGATTTTTAATATAGATTATATAGATAACTGACCGAGAACCGAAAGGGGGAGAAGTTGATCGCTTTACAATCAAAACGAGAAGCGACTCCAATTTATAATTTGGCAACATTATTTATATTACAGTTAGAGGAGTATTGAGTGATTATGGGATTCCACCTATTTTACTGTGCATTCTCGTGGTTTGATTTGGCTGGCAATGCAAACAGCTGATCGCCATGTTCTGTTTGTCTGTCGTAACTGTCGGAGTTTGCTAACCAGCCGTAGCACGAAATTCTTCCGCAATTTTCGCATAACTCGGTAACATTTAAGAGTTGCAGCCCGAACTCGAACTTGGTAATTTTCACGATCCTTCGCTGTGTTCCTTTTGTGTATCAAGATCGTGTGATCTAGTGTGCTGGCCAGCTTCTGCCTGCCAAGCCGCCAAGCCGACAATCCGCCAACCCCCCAGCCCAAGGGCCCAGGCCATGGCGAACGCATGATCACGTTTACGCTTACGCATCATTTAATGGGTTCGTGAAGCCATCGCTGACTCAGCTGATGCACAAGCTGTTGATGAAAAATGCAGGCCGCTTCCGCCTGCTAGCACCCAGTGTGGAGCTGGAGCTGGTTCTGGTGCTGGTGCTGGAGCTAGATCTAACCATAGCAGGAGCCGGCACGGCACCCACCAACTGGGCATACAACTTTATCACTTGCCCACAAAATATCTTCAATTGGTTCCATTAAACTTAAGCAGCGTCCGTGCACGTTGTACATGACCAAGGCAGGCCGCTTCGTGCGTTGCCATCATCATCGTCATCATTGGGCCGCCGCGTCGTGCCCAAAATTAACCTGCCCAGGCCCAAGATGGACGAGGTGGTGGAGGTGCTGGTGCTGGTGCTGCTGTTTGTATTGGTATTGGTGTTGGTGTTGGTGTTGGCTGCGGTGTTCGAGGTGGAGGTGGAGGTGCAGGTGGTGCTTGTGGAGATCGAGGTGGCTTCAGCCGCATGATCATGACGACGCAGGCTACGCGCAGCCACTATAAATTCTATTGGCGTATCTATCTACACTATTTCTAATTTAGCCTTTTGCCTCTGCTTGAGCTGTGCGGTTCAGTTTGGTTCAGTTCGGTTCGTAGTCGGACTTTGTGGATCTGTGGCTCAGTTTACTATGTTACCTTAGTCGTCGTCGTCGTCGTCGTCGTCGCTGGCCAATTTAAGTTTAAGTGCTTTGGTAACAGTTTCGCGCTTTCGAAACTTGAGTCGTGATTTATTTTTTTTTTTTCCTCTTCTTCCTTAGTTTTCTTGATTTTTGTTTCTCATTTTTTGTTTCGCTGCCAAGTTTGCTCCTCCAACTCCCTTCCGGCAGTCGAGCTGCAACTCCGATTCCTTTACAGCGCTATAGGAATTTTCAAGTGCCGTTTTTCACGCCACGACACGCAATCGCTGCGCTCAAGTAAATTAGGAAAATTGATCTAAATTTTCTTGGGAACCTTTCCTTTCAACTTTTTTGTTCCTTTTGCCTAGCTCTTGTAACTGCTTGCGCTTTTTTGTCAAGATCGTTTGCTGTTTGCCATGGAGATGACTCCAACTCGGCAACACTCGGCGACACTCGGCGCAACTCCGTGCAACGGGCAACCCATCAAAATCAAACACATGTTGTCGTCGTCGTTTTGCAGGCTGGTAACTGGAGCTGCATACTGCGCTGTAAAATAAAAGCAGCAAACAAATAAATAAACTTTGCAACTGATGGTCGAGCCAGCGTAAATCGAGAAAGTGCCACTTAAAGTTGCTGCATTTATTAGAACAGACGAAGGAATAACAAATAATTGTATCTATTTCTTACAGCATTCGATAAAGCACAAAATCAACCTATCGAAATAGAACTTGGGCAACGCCAGCTCATTTGATGGTGGCAGCACTGACTAGAGTAATGGGCAGCACTTTGCATTAGAAGCTCCAGGAAATATAAACAAACCACAAAAATACAATAAAATAATCAATATGTACATATATAGAAAAATAGTCAGCTAATAATGCAAAATATTTCATAATTAATAGAAATACATGTAAACACTCTGATATTTCGATTTCTTTCGACATCTATTAGCTTGCATATGTATATTGAAACTGTGTTGGCTTCCATGGAGGACGACGGCAGATCTGATCTGCGGTTGGCACAAACTTAGTCATTGAATGATCGAACGGCATTTATATAAATCGAGAAGATCAATGATCCGCCTTTCGACAGCCTTCTTCACACATCTACTACTTAGCAACCTGCAGGCAAGGGCCATCACGGCTGTTATACGTTATTCAAAGCATAAATGCAATCGCAATCAGCAATCGCATTAATTTCAGCTACACAACGTGGTGCTAATGCGACAAGTTCTGTTGCAGGCTGTTGCGGCTTCCTGGAAAGTGGCATCGCATCCCCCCATCCGATGCACCGAATCGGAGCATAGTCGGCGCATTGATCAGCGATATGAAAGTGGCAGCGCGTCGAATGGCAGCGGAGCAAAGCCGGGCAATCTCGAATGGCCATCGACGAACTGAGTGACTGACCAGGCCACTGGCAGGCAACGACTCCAGAGATAGCGCTGAGCCATGGCCAGCAATTATAATATATACAAAATGCAATCGGGTTCAGAGGGCAAACGTAGAAGAAATTGCCAGTGCCAGAAAGAGACGCCCGATCTGCAGGAGCCCAAGAGATAGAGAGACAGAGCGAGAAAGAGAGAGAGAGAGAGATAGAGAAAGAGACTGTCAGCCAAAGGCTGGTATCGGTTCATTGGCAGCTTTGCACGTCGTCGTCGTCGTCGTCGTCATCGTCGATCAATGCGCAGCCTGTAGCGCCGCATCCATATCAAGATGTTTGGCTTATTGAGCCCCGAACCAGGCAATCGTGATCAACTGTGCAACAGAATTCGGCAGCAATTTTCCAGGCACACTGCAACTGGCGATACGGCGACAGATTCGTTTTGGGCGCTACGCAAGTCCATAGTCCGCACGGACGGCTTGCCCAAAAGCCAACCAGAGCCATGTCCATGGCCAGTTGAAATGCCAGCTGCGGGCGCCCACAACGCACAGAGAGCAAGAGAGACAGAGACAGAGTGGCCGTAGGCCGTAGGCCTTAGCAAGAGCTGCAGCTATCCACAGCTCCACGTTTAATAAGCAATTTTGATTTGGAGCAGATTATGTGACGGGCAAACGAGCCTCGGCACCAGGTTGCATGCAACATGAGGCGGCTACTGCAGCCGAAACGTGAGCTCCCCGAGTGCCAGGCGCAGGCGAATTCGAAGGCACCTCACCATAGCTTGCCACGTCTCGCTGCACTTGACTTTGTTGCTGACCCGGCAAAAGATTTTTAACTTGCCCCATGCTCTGGCTCTGGCTCTGGCTCTCCCTCTCTCACACACATTCTGTGTTTCCCGCTCTGGCTCTCTTTGGATCTTGTTGATACTGTTTTACATGGAACTCGTACTGATTGCTTCTAGTCATGCCCCGATTTGCAGATTTCCCATTTTGTGATAAAAGTGCATCATTTTCATTGGAATTGAATGAATTTTTATTGTATTTTAATTGGCAGTCCAACAAGCAACAGCTACAACATAAAACTTAGATGGTTGGGAGTACAGACATTGAGAAGCATATATAAATATATATATACACATTTCAATATATATATATATACATATATATAAATATATTTATGTATATAGATATGTGTAAGTGTATTCATGTATAATTTGGTTAAGCTACTGCATCGTTTACTTGAACGATTCCAAATCCTTTTCGCATGTCTTATAGGCAACCCCAATGCCAAATCCAGTGCCAATCAATATCGGCCACACGCGCCGACGGAGAAACAATAAAGATATAACAGCTCCCACGACGAAGCCGCCGCCGCCCTTAACAATGCCATTGGCCAGACAGCGATCGAACTTCCGTCCAGGCTGTTCCTCAAAATATACTTTCTCCTCGACAGGCATGTTAATGATATATAACAATTCCCTGGCTTTGTCCTCAAATCTTGCACTTTCCGGCAAATATTTGTCTGCTTCTGTTTATTTTCACAATAACTTTGACATTAAAACGGAAAATTTTCCAAATGCAATCACGTCGATACGATTAAAATTATACACAATTGTTTAGAATGTTTTAAATACCAGGATGTCAAGTCGACAAACTGTCCGTGTAGCTCAGATTTTTCAACTAGTACTTAAAATCAAAGCCAGCCTTGTTTCTTTCGGACGATTAAAGTGATTTGTGTTAAGATACATTTACAAAATATATACCATCTGCAAGCAGCTCTCTCTCTCTCTCTCTCTTTCTTTTAAATATGCAATATATATAATATTTAAAGCTTATTTTCTCACTTCAGGCTTTGGGTATCACCTTCGTAACTTAATATGCAACTTGAGCTCTGTCAAATAATTAACTGCTGTTGGATTTACCAAGTTCTTACAAATTTTCACTGCTGAAATAAATGTTTATTCATCAATTAATTATATATAATAATATTTGTTGTTTAACTTAATCAAAGTCTGGATATTGTTAGTTGAATGTACAAAACAAAAAACATCTAAAATTGATCCACTAAAATAACGATCAAATCGATAATTTTCCGCAGAGCTGTTGAATGCGAGAACAAGATAAAACAAGTAAGAGGTTCTAGTCGGGAGCTCCTGACTAGGGGATACCCTGAAGCCTCTTCTTCCAACATTAAATGCATATATATATTCTATTTTAGAAGTTTGGTGACTCTAGCTCTTATTATTTACCAAAATTGCCCAAAAAACAGGATATCGATATCGATTCTTATCGATTGCTTGGAAACGGAGTAACCTATCGATTATCGGATATATGCAGGCACTAGGAGCACCTACATCTAAAATTTCTCTAGCTCTCATTGTAGGTTCTGAGATCCTTGCGTTCATACATACGGACGGACGGACGGACAGACAGACGGACATGGCTAAATCGACTCAGCTATTGATGCTGATCAAGAATATACTTTATGGGATCGGAGATGCTTCCTTCTGCCTGTTACATACATTTGGATTTTGCACAAATACAATATACCCTTATACCCATTTTTAATGGGTTCAGGGTATAAAAGTGTATTAAACATTTTTCATACATCTTGAGTAACCGAGGACCCAGCCAGGCTTGGCGAAATATCACCTAAGTCAACTGTGTTGTAATATAAATTGAAGATATTTTTGATTCAATACAATAAACATTTACAAAAAAAAATGTGAGCAGTAGAAAAAGAACATCGGAATGCCCAAAGCTATCAACTAGCGATTAGTGACGCACCGAAGCGGAACTAAGCGTAGGATGTGCACGGAACATTGGATCAGCATGGATGGTGAACCATCTATATTTGCCTGCCCCCAACTGTTGCCACTTGCAAGGCAACTACGTGGTATATGTGCAATTGTGCCATGCCCACGAGCGTTCAGTTGTTGCTGTTGCCACATTAACAACTCGGTGAATGTGAATATTTGTGGAGCGAGGCTGGGGCAGGCTGGGTCTGTATTTGGTCTCGTTCACAGCACAGAACGCATGCTGCCGGCAACGGGACAGCTGGACAAGATTTTCAAGACATTTTTTGTGGCACTTAACCTTTTGCAATTGCTGGTGCAGCGTGCGTCGTCGTCGTCGTCCTCGTCGTCATGGCAGCAACAGCAACAGCCCTAAATCGATCACGATCGATTTCTGCCAAAATGGATAATAATCGATAGGCAGGCACGGCAAGCAAGTGGCCGCAACGGGCACAATCATGTGCAATCTTATCTATGGATCTGTCTATCCATCCATCTAACTAACTATATATATGGGTACACACACACACACACACACACACACCCACACACACATGTACGTCCAGCGGCGGCAGGTAATCATGTCAGTTAAGGGAAAATACCGCAACACTGTTTTCATTTTGATACTCGTTTTGGATCGATGGGAACTAGCCAAAAATAGGAAATCAAAAGAAAAGCTGACGAGCGTCGTCTGTTGACGTGTTAAGTGCTAAAGAGACGCCGCCGACGATGACGTTGGCCCCAAAACTTTGCGATTTGGCCAGTTCATAGCTCCGTCTGTGAAGCTGTGAAGCAAGGCTATAATTTGTTCGCCCACCATTTCTGGGCTGGCCAAAGCGAAGCCTAACTCGAAAATTGCAAATTCGGGTGTTCAATGGAGTTGAATCCTTTTCTATTACTGCTGCTGCTGCTGCTGCTGCTGCTGCCAGTTGCCAGTTGCCAGTTGCCAGTTGGTTGACCGGGCTCTGTGTTTAAAGAAATTGTTGCCTGCATTCGCTGCATCAGCAATTTAATGGCCAAGTTTGTTGTTGCTGTCTAAAATTGGGTGTTTTGTGGGTGTTGCGCGTTTTGCACTTTGGCACAGTTATTGAATGCAACTCCGAAGGCATCGCAACCAGACATGCGGCCATCTGACGGATGATCATATGCCGCAACGAATTGAGGTCAACTTAAAGCTATTTAAGACTCCTCGATATATTTATATATATCTATTTCTGAGAACTGTACCAAATCAATTAAATATCTGCAAATATAAGGTCGACAAACTCGAATGCTCTTGAAATATTTTGTAAAATTTAAATATGGTTTACTTAAATAAATCTTATCTCTATATGACAATCAGCAAATTATAAGAGTATGTAAATGCGAGTAAAATCTGTGCACGAATACACTCTGTCTATATCAACTTCTGTTGTCTAAAAATAAGTTGTCAAAATATTTATTAATTCTTAAAAGCAGCTACTTATCAAATTTTCTAAGATTTGAATCTTCGCAGAGACTCTCAACTAGTCCAAATAGATAGAAATTGGTAAATTCTATACTTGCGGCTTTCCCATCCAACATCCATGGGCATTTTTTTGAGTGTTAAGCGGATTGGACATCGATTGGCAAGTTCAATATGAAGAGCGAGAGGAGGCAACTGTTTCTGTATTGCGGCAGTTGTGGCAACAAATTGGCCAAAAGCACTTGGCTTATAATAAAGACATTTATGGGCCGGGGCGATTCAATTGTGCGGCAGTCAACAGCTTTGTTGCCAACAAAGAGAGTGAGAAAAGGGCAAGAGAGAGAGAGAGAGAGAGAGAGAGAGGAAGGGAGAGAGAGCAAAACACTCACTTGGCGCAGCGCTAAGGTAAGCTGAAATAATTTGACTGCAACTCGGAGTACAACTTGGACAACTTGGATGGAGTTTCCCCTCGGGGCAACGCACAACGTTGCGTGTGTGGGTATATTGGTGTGTGTGTGTGTGTGTGCATTGGGTGGGTGTCCCTAGTCAGACATCGTGCAACAACAAACATAACAACAACAACAACAATAAGAAGAGCAGCAACAGCAAGCGGCAGCAACAACAACTCAATGAGCACATGCTCAAGTCAAAAAGAATACATGGCCGAGGCCCGAAAGCCATATGGCCAACATTTGAGATTCGGGCTGCAGCTTGGCCCCGGCCTGGTTCATAGCCGGCCTGGGCTCATTATAGATGCAGCGCCGATTTGTTTTGTTGTCCCCCCATTTGACTTTGAATTGATAGCATCAGGCATCGGGCAGCAGCCGGCAAACGGTTCAGCCCCAGACGCTATCCGACTCTCGACTCTGACTCCCAACTTTAACTACAACTACAAATGTGACTCGGGCCGGCGGGTGCAGCAGCAGCCGCAGCAGCCGCAGCAGCGCCCAGTTTTGCCTGCATTTAAGATATAAATGTATCTGAACAATTGAGCTAGCAGTGCATGCGCATGTGCAGCGCAAATATTTTAGATTCGCATAAACTTTGCATAGTTTTAGATGCGCCGCACACTGGTTACAAGCCATGCGATAACTAAACCATTTTTGAGCTACTTATGCAAAATTTCTCAGTTATTCAATATTATTGGCTAATATTTCAAAACATAGTGTGTATTTGAAATTGAACAATTTATGTAATTAAAGCCAAAAGTTTTCTATATTTGATAAGTTTCGCTCTATTAACTAGCAAAAATGTATGTATATAGTAATATTTTGCATTTTGCAAAAAATTAATTGACAGCGCAAAAATTGCCTCATTTTAGTTTTGCCTGTTTTTTTTTTTACATTTGCGTTTTGAATTTTGTTATGTTTGTGCCTTATATCTTTAAAGAATACTTAGAACAATAATATGCAAAAAAAAAATAAAATTATGAAGAAATAGTTTAATTCCGTAAAATATAAGTTTAAAAATGAATTTGTGTGCTGTTTTTCATTTTGCAAAGAATTACTTGACAAAATGTATGTGTGAACCTAAACTTAATGCGAATAATGTTTTAAAATATTATTTAAATAAATTATCAATAACATTTTGCGATTTTGTTAGCTATTTTAGTTGATTAATTTTGATTAAGTAGGCCATTTATATACCCATCCCTTTATTCATCATTCATTTTAATATTTTACTTTTTTTTGTTTCCTTTTGGCCTAATTTTTAATGTAAACAATCCACGCCCCTTTCCCGCCCCACTTTTTTATTCTTTTTACACATATTCAGTTGATATTT